TTTCAGACAAAACTATCCAAAAAATTATCAAGATCTTCTTTAAGAGCTAGACTTTTTTTAAGATCTTAGGTAGATCTAAACTTCCAGCTACATATGTATTTAGTACCACAGTAAAAGAATCAAATTTTAATAAATCCTTTTCTGTAAGTTTGTACACTCTCTTTAGCATGTCAAAGAGCGCAAAGTTGTATTGCAAAATAGTTCCGTGCCTCTACAATAAACTACTGTGTATGACTTTCTCTCAGTGACACAAAGTAACAGAATTAAAATATTCTTAGATCTAATTTTTTGGTAGATCAAATATGATATGCTTCTATGTAGGACCAATTGTAACTTTGATAAAAAATGGTAATTGAATCGAATATGGACATGCTAAATAGAACGAAACATTAAAAGTTTGTCGTGGTAATGTTGGTATTATTTGACGAAGATCTGATTGAGATACGCCATTGTAGCAATAGTTAGGCGGGATATGTATTTTATTCAATGACACCACTACCACTTAGAATCCATGCAAATATGAAATCAAACCTCCCGTTACCCATATATTCATCACCAAAATCATCTATGGTCGATACGTCACCTAAATAACATGAACCATTTCCATCGCCACCGAATTCAGACGCAATTGTCGTTGACGATGTATCCGCGTGATATACAAATGTGTAATAAGTATAACTGATGGAGAAATTTGTAACAAGATGAATAGAAACTTTAAGACAGGCTCTAGAAATGTCTACTCTTACTTGCTGCATCATCGTGTCTACTATTGCGTCATGTCTATTATTGGGTTATTATTATTGTAATGTGAGAAAATTTCTGACAAAATTCCTTTAGATACTTCACCTGTTAAACGAGCTAGTTTATTCCGGTAGTTACACTTGTAGCACTGTTGAATATGGAAGTTTCACTTGCCGAGAAATCTTACGTTTCTCTGGAATCAATACTTGTTGTACGAAAATCAGTGGAAATTCAGTTTGTATAATTGGGACTGCAGATCCTAGAAATGTTGGTAATTAATCGTTAAATTATCGTTGGGCGTATAAACATACGGGTAGTTTGTTACACGTAAAAAGGAATATGTCAACATCGCTGCTGCGATCTAAGACTGAACAATTTATGCAGTTGTCTGATTTGAGCAAATTCATTAGCTTGTTTATTACCGATTTTCCGAAATCGTGTCCAACTGGATTTTATGTCTAAGGAGTAAGTCCTCACAAGAACAGAACGGATTGTCGATGCTGTCCTTATCGTACAGATCTTTTCTCAACGGGGGAAAAGTCAATGCTAAGACGACAATAAGTGATATCAACGTCATGATTTAATATTTGTAGTATTCTCAGAAACTGGGATTTGAACAGCAGACGAGATCTGAACTTCCCAACAGACTGAATCAGCCTAGTTTCTAAGGACAACTTATTATATTCACGCAATGTACGAAATATCATTGATTCATAAAACATATTTAGCCGACAACGAGCGACAAGTGGTTTAAAGCGGTTGAACGACTTTACTTAAACAAACTTATGTAGTGCAGAGATATAGTATTTTATAGTCTGCATCTTCATTAAATGTCTCTTCTTTTCATTCCCAAACGCAACATTTAATCGGATCATATACGCATTGTTTCAACAGTGTCCTTTTGATGCACGTTTTTCTAGCCGGCTTTCTTTATGTCATTTGAAGTCAAAGTTCTTTCTGTAATATATGATGTGTCTTGTGTCTTCCATGATCTGCGAGATTGTCGAAACAAAGCTTATATATCCGATTAATATGGACAACGTTTTTGACTTATTATTATTTTCATTTAGAATATTTTTAAGGTAAAAGCAAATATATCTTTAAAAAGGACACGAGAAAACAGGATAATCTTTACACAAATACTTTGTATTATTCTGCTTTTATATCATCATCAGTTTAGCCATTTTCTACTTTGTTAGCTGTTGCACTAAAGTCATCGAAAAGATAAAAAGCTTCCGCTTTCAAATTAAATTCATATGACTTGTGTTCTTCTTTGGGTATTGTGTTCTCAGAATCTGTAGTATAATTAATAGTAATATAACTTCAGAAGTTGCTACACCAAATTTTTCATTTAAGCTCGACTCGTTAACCTATGAAACTGTGATTCGTTACTTCAGATTATCGTTCATTTATTTTAACGATTCAGTCCATTGTGATCTTCATATAACGAAGGCTTTGTCACTGACAACACTGGTCACAGAACAGAATGAGTAATCATCCTTTCTATAAAGCGCATTTTGCCTTTGTTGATGTTAATACTAACAAGGAGTATTATGAAATGAATATTATGAATTTTTAATAAATATATTAATAAATATAAGTATATTAATTCTTAATACACATTTTTTATTTCAGTTCCTATTCTTCATGTTGAGTTTAATAATGTCATTTATTGATCTTTTTGCTTTCATTTTAGTGAAACCAGTACGTATCAACTATTAATTATTCTACATTTAGTTTTATTTTCTTTAAAATATCCATGGTTTTTAGACTGGCTGCAATAGCCAGGGTTTTGAAGATTGATTAGAAAACCGTGAAAGGTTTTTTGAAAAAAAGAAAACAATTTTGACATGGGTAGATCCGGAGACCCCAGGCTCAGCCGACGTATGCACTGACCACTTGGCTGTCGGAACCATGAAAATATAATGGGTGTCGAGGAATAAATGGACTTTTCATTATTTTGCCAATATCTCTGTCAATTTTCACTGCCAATATTCGAAATCTTTTTAATAAGATTCCTCGTTCAATTCTCCACAAAAAATCTATTGAACATTTTGTATATATGGTATAAACAAAGGAATACGGATAAAACACTAGGAAGCTTTAATCTCCATTACTTTCTAGGCTGGAAAATAGTGTTTGATTTTTAGTCCTTTGTAACTTGCGACATTAGAGAAAATGACCATTTCATGGCCTATAAAAGCTCTACTAACTGGTCGTATTTAAAGCTTTTCATCATTACGACTGCTTGTGAGAGAATGCCTTTGCTTTTATCAACTATACCAAAAATCATCGGTCTTGAAAGCAAGTTTTGGAGTACACGGAAAGAATTTATAAGTCGTTACAATCAAACACTTTGGCTGTGGTTGTCTCAGCTTAAAGCAAAATAAGTATCCTATTTCATCAGAACAGAAACAGTTCAGTAGCTGAATTCCGTTTTTTGTGTCGGGTCGAACCAGTCAAAATTTTCGCCCTTTTTTGATAAATTTTAGTAAAATCGTCTTTTGGACGTTTTTTTTTTTTTTGTACTTTGAAACTAACGTATGACGCCATGAGTCCAAACAGAAAAAGCAAAGAAAAACCTCTCTTTGCGACTACAGAAAAGTAACACGAACGTTTGGTAGTGATCTCACAGTCCAGAAAATCTTTGACTGCGCGTATGTAGTTTTCTCTCATTGGAACCGAAGTTTTGCTTTTTGGAAGAGAAAGTACTTTGAACAAACAGAGCGATTCGCAACTTGGATAGCGGTACAGGTAACTATCGTCTGTTTTATTACGCTAAACAACGTAGATGCTTATAATCATTATCTGTTGAAAAATCTGTTTTATACGTAGATCCAGCTCCAACCGATGAGAAGAAAAACTTCTTCGCAAAATTTCTGAATCGTGTCAATAATCATTGTTAGATAGTTATTTTATTTGTGTTGGTCTTATGTTTAATAATGCATTGATTGCATTCGGCATTACCAAGAGCAAAAAAAGCGCCGCCGCAGAACGTGAGCAGATCACACCTTTACAGACATCCTCCTCCGGAGTTAGGCCTTTTGCAGACAGGTATTTTCTTGTTCTAGACACAATCTTGCCTTCCGTTCAAAACACGACCAAAATGACATCAACTACTACTTTTCTCTTCATCTTCCTACGACTTCGATGAGTAAAAGAATTGCGATCACCGCTGTATTTTCGCTTTGCAGCAGTTCCACTTCTTCATTTTCTTTCTGCTTTTAGCTGTAACAAAATCCACCACTACAGTTAAAAGTACCATTGCTGAAACATGTATAAAAAAACTTTTCTGTCTGAAATTTTTTTCTATGGCTAGGTTTCGTGTCAAAAATATTCACCAAATATTTTAGCTTTCTAACTAATTCTCTTCTGAAGTTATAGAATTTTCAAATTTACCGCACTCCGTCTTAGCTGAAAGGCGAATCACCGGTAAACTTGAAAATCTGAAAATAATCTTGATATTGAGCAGGTGTATTTTTCTTCGAATGGCGAAGTAGGAAAAGGCAAAAACAATTAAAGTTGCATAGTAAAAAAAACGCTGTTATTTCCGTTCTTTTTCCTTTCTCATTCAATCACTAATCGCTATCCTAATCTTTTTTAATTAAATTGAGATGGAATATGTATATTAACTGTGCCCCTTACTCAGTCTTCTCATTAGGGACTAACAATAAAAACATCATTCTCTTTCAACTACTAGTAAAATAAAATTTTGCTTCGTACGAATACCAGCAAGATGAATAATCTTGTAACTGTTTTGGTTGGAATCTGCTTTGGTATGTTCGTGTAAGTGGACGGACGTAGATTTTAAGTGATTTTGAAATAAAAGAAGTTTTTCTGTATTTTACTATTTCCAGTATATCAAGCCAAACAGCCGAATCACGTAAGTTGTTATATCACCTTTAAAAGAACACTTTCAAAGCTACTCTTTTCTGCTTTGGGCTGTTGGCTTGATAATCTCTATAATGTAATGAAAAAAATTTCGAAGACAAAAGCATATGCGTGACTGCGCGTGCAGTAGTTATAGCACTTGCGATAAGATTTTTATACACTGCATCCTCTCTCAATACATTTCAAAGTAATCAGCGTTTGTTAACCAAGCTATAGTTTCGCATCCATGTTCAAACTATACTGAATAAAAAAAACGTTTGTTGTAAGCACTGGTACGCGTTGCACTAGTATGTAGTTTCTAGTGTTACTGCAGACTTTCAAAGTAGCAAGGACTATTCGTCATAAGTACTTTGCCATTTACAGATAAAATGCAAGACGATACACCAGAGAATGACGTTGCTGTTCCTGCTCGACGATGGAGACCGGGTAATGCTGAATGTCCAATATATTTACAAAATGTAATTGATAAATTGTTATTCGAATTGTGCGGAAGTGTCAACAATGGTTGGAATTCTATTATTAACGATATTGTATCGGATAATACGGATCTAGATTATGCGTTACTAATGGGTTTACAAAACATTATTTCATCTATTGAATATCCGGCATACCTTAATGGTAGTGAACTTGATGGTAAATGGAAATTTGTTAAAGAAGATTTGTATCGTATTCTAAGTATATTAAGTAACAATGGAACATCAGCTCTGAAATTTGGTGATATTAAAAACTATATACCATGCTTTCTGTGAACGATATTTCCAACTGGTAATTAGTGACGGCGCCATGGGTGAGCTAGGGTGAGCTGAGCCCACCCGAAAGGAAGTTAAGCCTACCCTGAAAATTTTTTTCAGTGCTAAAACTTTTTCAGTGTTCCCAAAATGGGTGGGCTAACGAGGGAACCTATCCAACTGTCGGACGCCGTTTGACTCCACATTTTGGCTATAAGTAGGACTCAGTGAGACTAAGAAAATTCTAAAAGGGTTCGGGCCCATGACTCTTGAAGACCCCGTTTTCTGGAAAACCAGTTTTTCAAGAACTCTAAAAGATAACTAAACCCTTCTTTTAATGAGATATAATTGTAGCCCGCAAATTTCTGATT